TAATAAGTAAGGACCATGACCCTTCCCTACTCTAGAGAGCGTGGTTGGATAGCATGGATTTGCAGCGTGATCACGTGTAGGGTGGAATCCGAATTGGAGACCTAACTAGGCTTCGACAGCGGTAACACATAAGATAGGACCCTGAAGGGCCTTACCTTCCTACGAGATGATGGGTATGAGTCTAGGGGCGGGATGTTGGAATCCGAACCGAGGACGTCACTAGGTCTCGGACAGCGGTAGCAAGTCCCGTAGAAATAATGAGACCTACGGGTTGCGTCGTGTGAACGACGAAAGGAATGGAACATAAGAAGGGGTCGCGTGCCGATAAATTAATGAAGTAACTTATTATAAAGATAATAAGGGGCAAATATGAATTATCATTATGTTATGATATCACCCTATTTTGAGGGTCTTAGAAATTAAAACATTGATTATATTCAGTGTAGTTGTCATTGTAACATCGCCTTCACGGGGGAGGCCACCTCACAGTTTCAGGTAGAACTTAGAAGGTTGCTATCATCACCCGTTGTTTCGGGAAGATCAAGGAAAGAAGACGTGGTTCGTGCTTTTTCCGTTCTGTTTTTAAAAACAATTAAAGTAATGCTCATGGATATTAGTTTCTGAATAATTATTTGGGGGCTTGTACGCCTAAGTTGCCAAGTGTGGCTTCAACACTTGTATTAAATGTTTCCGCTGCTTTAAATGAATATTTTACATTATGTTTGTTTATGGATATACTATGTGTGAATGGTATTCAAGACGCCTTGTATAGTATGGATATGTTGGACTGCGGTTGACTATTCGTACTGTACGGCGGGTTGTTGACGTGTCCGGGTAGGTCCGGGGCGTGACAAATGAACTCAGCAAGGCTTGGTCAGATTTATCTAATTAATGTTTAGAAGGAGAAGAAGAAGAGCTTTCTAGTTGAGATTTTACCAGGAGACGCCCTGTTATCCGTTTGCGAAGAAGATACATGAGATGAAATGTTAGGGATCGATAGTCCTCCATCTTCGAACTAAAATAGGTTCATGGGCGTTCAGTCATAGCGATGGAATCCCATGTATTTAGAAGAAAGTTGGATGTCGTTGCCGCTCTCCAAGCTTCCCAGCCGCTCTCCCAAATTGTTTCACCGATAGGGTGAAGAGAAACTGTAATCGGGATGTTGCTCTGCGTCTCTCACGTGATATACAGAGGAGGTGGGCAGAAGTCCAGTCTAAAAGTGAAATAAAAAATACAATTGAAAACAGAAAAGATTAAAATGAAAAGAAAAAATAGTTAGATTATAAATGATATGTGGCACACAAAAGTGAACCACACGAGTAATTTCCACTTGTTTTTTCCTTTATCCTCAAAACCAGTTCACGAAAGATTACCGAGTCAAGGGTCAACCCGAACCCGGCGGATCAGCGTGGTCAACGACCATTAGACACGATCAACACTCAACACTAAATATATGTAATTATACAAATGATTAAATTCATAATTAGAATTTTTTGTTGAGTTTTAATTTAATAATGATAATACAACTTAACTATATAAGTAAGAGTTTTTTTCAAAAATATTATTGAAATGAAACTTATTTACCAAAACACAATGAATAGTTACTATAGTATAGTCTCAAATACATAATACAACATAACTGAACATAAACTACTGTGATTAATTTATTGTTATATGTAGTATATAGTCATGAAGCCACATTTTTGTAAACAACATTCATTTTAACCATGTATATGTAATTATTTTTATAAGTGAAGTGACAAAATTATTATATTAAAGTATAATGATTTGAATAGAATTTAAAATACATTAGGCCTTAGATGGACAATAAATATGAAAATGAAATCAATTACAAAATCTTAAAAATATTATAATTGGTAGATGATATATATATAATAGGAGACTAGTTCGTATAATAATAGTATTGGTATGTATGAATTGTTAGAATAACATAATTAATTCATAATTAACAACTCTCTCATAAAATTTTGTTTGTGAAAGCTATAGGAGATGGGGAGGAGAGGGATTAGATAGCAAACGTGACTTTATGAGACATGTATGTTGGATAATGCATACGTGTGTGTAGTCCATGTGGTATTGCTACTGCATAGACAAAAGCACCAATAACCTTATATGCAACTAAAATTTGAAAGTTTAAAAATATACTTTTCTTTACTAAGGTAAACCCAATGATTACAAAATAAATTAACAATATACTTCATGTAAAGCTACTGGATAATCGAAAACGATAACTACTAACCAACGGTAAGTACATGCATTCACAAACTCTTTCCCAAATTTCACGCTTGAACAAACACCTTATGCATATTCGAAAACCAATAATCTCAATAGACATAAGGCTGAGAGTCTTCAGCATGACTAAAACTTGTTATTTTCAAATTAAAGGTGCCGAGTACAGTTCCTATACATAAATAAAGGTGCAATATGATAATGATAGAGTTCACTTCCAGGTAAGCATTTTGGTATACATGTACCTATTGCTATTGCAGAGACACTACCGGTCTTCATTCCTCTGAGAGGCCATCAACAGAAGCAAGTGCAACAACAATGCTACTTGCCTTGGTAGATTTTATAGTTGTTTAAATGCACAAGAAATTTATATTACAGCACAAAGAGGGGATTAGACAATCTGATAACCAAAATCTTCTTGACATCAAGTTCCCTCATTGATTACGCTTTAAATATGTGTTTCTGTTGAGGCGCGAAGGTGAGAGACGAAGAGGAAGATGTAGTGGGAGGTGCTTTGATGGCTATGGCGTGATTCGGCGGCTGGTCTGACCCATCAAATTTCATCGCCTATCTTCTTCGCGTTCATCATCGAGAGCTAGTGATGTATGTTGCCTTTGCTCATTACTGTTGCTTTCTGTGGAGGGAAGAAGAAATCAGTTGGGATGAAAGTGTATTGCAGACCAAGGGCTCTGCTTGCGAACCTAGGGCGTGACCATTGAAGGCCAACTTGTTGCGAGCAGCGAGCGTCAGTGGCTTTGGCCTTTGGAAGAGTATGTGAAGAGGTTGAAGAAGACATCAGTTAGACGGAAGCTCTAGTGTCCACACCTCACACATCGAATATTCTGCAGATGGAAGCTCAGGTGGATACACCTCACGCAATTAGTGAGTCTTGTTCATCTTCTTTCGAAACTCCTTGTTCTTTTTCCATTGCTTTGCAGATGCAAACCCAGAGCTCCATATACTTTTATATGTAGATTTACACATACTTCATATACAATACCTTGAAAAGGAATCAAAGAGACCAAGAGGCAATACTGGGCATTGAAAAACTAGAAGGTCGGCCAAGTGACTCACAATTTTCACACCACTTACACTATGTACCACCTTTATTTGACATGTTACTTTCACGCGAGCGAGTAGCCATCTATTATCCAAAGGGTATGCCTTGGATGGACGACACTAGTTACTGAGTTACCCATTATCATCCAATTACAATTGTTTTTACTGATGACTGCGATGTTTTTGAGGGGGAAGTTGAGCAGTTTTTCCACTTGGTTTTATATATAGATCAATTTCGTTTAAAACTAAACTATGACATATTTACGTTTATCGTCATCAAAAGGTAACATTAATGATAAAATAATAATGTGAATATTTTACAAAACAATTAATCACAAAATATGATATTTTCATAATAATTAAAAATTATGTGACACAAATTATCGTCATTAATTGTTTCAAAAATGTCAGCACAAAAACTCCCTTCATACGATTGGTGATTGCGTCATCAAAAATGTCATCACAAATTTTACTCAAGTTCCACATAACAATGACGGTTGCGTCATCAATATAACAACTGTCCAAAACTGGTGTCACCCTCACTGTTATACACAGAAGGTTCTATGCCTTACACGTGTGGCTTGCATGTGCATTCCAGTACAAAAGAAACTAATTCAGATTTCCACAGAACCATCAGCCAGCTGTACATTTTCTATCGCCAATCAACCTTTACATGTGTCATTGTATTATTAGGCTAGCACATTTTACTTGTTGCCCAAGTAGTTCCTTTTACACTATAAATATCACATTCCAACTTGTGGAAATCGATCACCATTTTTGAGCACAAGCTTACCATTACTTTGCCAAATTTTCTACCAACTCTATACTTAGCACTCTCTCCCTCCTCCTCGGTTTCTGCTACCCCAAGCTAGGGAAACAATCAAATGGTTTTCAACATGTTATTATCTAATTTCTCACTTGGAAAAAATACCAACTAACATGACTATATTACTAACCGAGTTATTCGACTATCAAAAGGCGTGAAAATTAATTGAAAGTAGTGGGCACCTCAATCTTATTGACTCGTTACGCTTTTTTTAATCAAACTCTTAAAATAAATAAAAATTCAAACCAATTGTTTGATTTGTGTGTGAGCAATTTCTATTACACAAACAATTTTTTTAAAATGAAGCAATAGAGTCGTAATAAAATGAGTGCGTTTCGTCAAGACATTTATCACCCCTTCAACTTGCAACCGACTATCTGTCCACGTGGCATGCAATTCAGTTCTACCTTATAGTCGAATCGTCAAATAATATAAATTGGAAAATATTGAAATAATGAACGAAAAAACGGATCAAAGAGGGAAGAAAATGAGGAAGATTTGAGCAAAAATCTCAAATGTTTAAACATTTAATTTGAGATGCGGAGAAAGTGAAATTATTAACGATGGAAATGTTTGAACATTTTAAATTTTGGGGCATTTCCTAAATATTAATAATTGAAAATTTCATGAACAAAAATGAGATTAAAGTTATTATGATGTGGCTTTAGAGTGAGTGTGGTGTAAAATTTGAACAATATTATAATCACAAAATCAAATTTTTATCCACTATCTTTACTTTTTCATAAATTTTAATGCTCAAATCTCATTAGAAGTGGAATAAAATGAAAGAAACGAGTGCATATATCCATGAACAAAGCTGCTTGCTCCTACTCCCACCACTACATACACTGTCACTCCGTTAGGCTTATCCGCCAACATTTTATCAAACACGTAAATTTTGCTTTCGCGCGCTGAATTGTGTAATAAGCTAAAAAAGTAAGGTTGAAGTTATTTTTCTAGCTGTATTGGCTGAAGTTACCGTAGATGATCATTTTAGCTATTTTTACCTATAATTTTTTTTTTATTTTATTAATAAAATATATTTTAAAAATATTTTTTTCTTGTATTAGCAGAATAACAGTCACTTCAGCCGGAATTTTATAAATTTCAGCAGAATCTTACCAAACGGGTTCTATGTATGCTTCTGCTATCTCATCCTCGACTACCTCAGTCAGATCTACATTAGTATTACGGAGTATTATGTATGCTTCTTGGCCGGCGGCCGGGTGAAGCGATACCGGACCACCAGCTCATCGATCCGGCGGCGGCTCAGCGGATGGTTGGTGTGGCATTTCTTCTCGCCAGGCTTGGTGGAGGAGGGGAGTCGAAGGGAAGGGGGGAAGAGGGAAGAGGGTAGTCGAAGGGAAAGGGAAGGGGGAAGAGGAGGGGAGTTGAAGGGAAAGCAAAGAGGAAGTATGGGAAAATAAAATAAAGAAGAAGGAAAATAGAAAGTAGTTTTCATAGTTAAGGTATTCATGAATGTACTCTTCATGTTCTACAAAATGCCTTGACCACTATCTACGTTCAAAGTTTTAAACTTATAAGGGAATATGAATTTTGAATAAAGAATTTTTTTTATAACAACAAATTGAACTTAAGGAACGAATTGGATTACAAGTTATATATTATAACAAGTTTTCTTGGGTGACAAATTTCTTTCACAATGTAAACTCTAAGTTGTTCTTTCATTTACTGAAACGGTATAAAGTGCTTGCATGTTCACAGAAATGCCCAAACGTTTTCAACAGTTTTCTGTGAATTTTCTGTGCCAACACATATCACATGCTTCACGGGCATATTACATGCCCTTGGACCACCATCTGATCACAAAAACATATACATCACCCAAATACCAAACATAGGCACTCAGAGAAAACCAAGAACATACATATTGCTCCTTACAAATAGGCGATGCTTCACAAAATCACACCATTTGTCTTGATTCAATCATCTTTGAGAACTGTAAGAGAAAATAAGTTCCATAAACCAAGGAAAATCGAAAGAAATTTTTAACAGTCATTAGTATGGTTTTTAGTTACCTTATTGTATGGTTAACATTTGCAGGTGGTGTTTCTAATTGGGATTCAATTTGGACTTTGAAGTGATATGTCTAGCAACCATTAAGTGAACCCTCTGTTCTCAAAAACTGCAATTGTGTTTAGTTTTCTTTTATTGTTTTTTTTGTTGAGAAGGTCAGTGGATTAGAAATTGTGTTAATAAACTTTAACATCATGAGAACATAGTTTTGGGTAATAAATTGTTTTTGATTGCCAAATTCTGTATGACAAATTGGTTAAACATATTGTTTATGGAAAAGCAGAAAACTTGACAAACAAATGTATTTGTAATTTTTTTCAATCCAATCCGAGGCAAAATATTTGACCCCTTTCTTCTTCTTTAGATGATACCTGTAATTCTCCAATTCATATTGCTTTACTTCTTTTACAGTTTTCTTTGTTCATGCAGCTTGATTGAAAAAATATATTTCTGCATGATTAGAACTTATCTTTGTTCCCTTTAAAAAAATTATCTATTATGAAAATAATGTTGCTTCAACTCTGGACTTAACCATGAGTACACTTTGCTTAAGTTTTGAGTTTTATGTTTCTAACTAAGTTCATGACTGGGAATGATGATGCTCTTTAACTTGCACCATTTCATATTGTCCCTCTAACCTTTTTCAATCGCCAATTGAATTCTAACTCAAGACACTAAGATATAAGTTTGCTAAAAAGTTTGACTATATAATATAGCCAATTCATTAATTCTTTATTGTTACATTGTCGCTGTTAAATAAGACTATTAGTTGTTATTTTGAAAAGCTGTTCTGAGCCGAACCTAGGAAGATTTATTTGTAATAATAATATTTCATGGCTTATCTTAAATATACACATCTTGTATCTTTGATCTTTTTAATGAGAATTTAATTTCTTAATGAATACATACATGAAAGTGGACAGTGAATACATGAGACTTTTGCAATCTGGGACCCTGCATACTAGTATCCATAGTGCTAAATATGCATCTGTTCTTGGTCTTTTCAGGCAACATGCTACTATTTCTTGTTGGTTCTAAGCAAGCATTTGAGATATCACTGGCAGATGTCTCACAAACACAGCTACAGGGAAAAACTGATGTCATGTTAGAGTTTCATGTTGATGATACAACTGGAGCAAGTGAGGTATATTGTTAGCTAATACGATAGTATTTGTCAATTGTCATTTATTTGTCTTTCAGGGTAAGTTGCCTGTCGGTTATCATAATCATCCAATGTGGCAGTGATACGATTTTTCGAATCATCCAAGTTGCCTGTCGATTATTTGGAGACCCCCCTAGTTGTTCTCCAGATTCATTTTTCGAAAGACTCTTCTGACTTGGTTAATGTCTTTGATACGATTTTAGAAAGATTCATTAATGGAGATAAGTTTTCACGTACCCAATTCAAATACCCAGTTCGTTGGCGATGTAAACTGTCCTCCTGCTCAGGTGAAAACCCTCTTCGTCCCCCACTCCCCACCAAACTAATTTCTATTTTTTTCCTTTTATTATAGAGAAGTGATTAGTTCGATGTCACTATAAATGATTATTTACGTTTTCAAGTAGGTATTTCGTGACAAAATTGTGGCAATGGCTGATGTTTCTGATGGGGAGGAAGCTGTTGTTACATTTGATGGCATAGCAATACTGACTCCTTGGTAAATGCATAAGTTCTTCATACCATTGATTATTGTTTTTTTTCTTGTTATATGTATATGCTTTCTTATAATTGACCTTTGCTTTTCTCTTGTAGGGGTAGATATAATGTTGAACTTCATCTTTCTTTCTTGCGTCTACAAGGGCAAGCTAACGACTTTAAAATTCAGTACAGCAGTGTTCAGCGTATATTTTTACTCCCCCAAGGTTCTCATTGTCTTGCCCACATTTTTGTTTACCTTTGCTTCTGTTTGTTTGTTTGTTTTTGTTTGGTTATTGTATGTTTGTTTCTAGAATGATACTATGATAGTAAAAAAGTGATACTAGATCACTAGTCACAATAGGTCAGGTTGTTGTTATATGCCAGTCTGGCCATGCACCAATGCCCTCATCCCCCTTGCTGTATATATCCTACACATTCATATAAAGCATGTTGATGTCAATTCATTAATAATAATTTAAGTGATGAATAAGGATTTGTGATAAATAATATATACACTTCCTCAGCAAGGTGCAATTGCTTGTGCAGGTTAGTCAACCACACACCTTTGTGGTTGTTACCCTTGATCCACCAATCCGGAAAGGTCAAACTATGTAGTATGTACCCAAACATTGTTTTGCAGGTATCTGTATTGCATAAATTTTGTAAATGGTGGTGTATATTCTCTTGATCTAGCAGTAGACGTGGTTGATTTTTTTTACCTGTAATGCAGTTTGAATCTGAGTATGTGGTAGACACTGCTCTAACAATGAGTGAAGACGTTCTGAATACAAAATACAAGGACAGACTAGAGCTGACATATAAGGTTCGTTTCATATTTATCTTAGGTTTATCTATTTAATCAGACTAATTTAGGTTTCAGCTTTCAAGGAAAAACCTGTGATCATGCTAATAAATGTTTGGATGTTTTCCTCGTGTTATATCAGGGACTTATACATGATGTCTTTACCAAAATAATGTGTGGTCTTTCTGGTGCTAAAATCACTGGACCTGGGAAGTTTCGTAGACATACACAAGGTTTAGCTGTAAAATCATCACTTAAAGCTGAAGATGGACTCTTATATCCTCTTGACAAGAGATTCTTCTTTCTGCCTAAACCTCCCACCCTTATGCTATATGATGAGGTAAAATTAAAGATGTTACACTGCCATTGGTTATTTGAGCACATTTACACAAAGGATATATACTAACCACTAACCACTCATGCAGATTGACTATGTGGAGTGAGAGGCACGCTGCTGGTACAGCAAACATGCATTACTTTGATCTTCTTGTCAGACTTAAGACTGAGCAAGAACATATCTTCCGGAATATCCAGAGAAGCGAGTACCATTGTCTTTATAATTTCATGAGGTCAGCAGTCATGTTTTTCTTGTAATATTCATCAAGATTAGCTTTCCTTCCATGAAATGCTAGGGAAATAAAACAAACGCCAAGTGCATTTATTTTCATGTGTTTTGTTTTTACTTGGAAAGTGCAAAGGAAACTGAAATATGAGTATCAACAAATATCTAAAAGAAATTTATTTTCTGGGCTATTTTTTATTATTTCCCTAATATTTCCTTTTCCTCCAATTCTTTCCTTTATGTTACTTCCCTTGGTTTTTCCGTAGTAATTTCCGGGTTCCGAATGAACCCAAAAAATTCAAAGGATAGTAACCTTACATCAATGTTTATGAATTGTACAGTGCGAAGGGTCTAAAAATAATGAACCTGAGAGATTCCCGACCCGCAGATGGTGTTACAGCTGTTTGCAGGGAGCTGAAGATGAAGATGCTGTTGACCCACATCTTAAGCGAATCAGGATCCAAGCTGGTGAAGTTGAGAGTGATGAAGAGGTAAATATATGTTTCTTTCTTTGTGAAGGAGATTAGATCGTATGCCGAATCTTATTGATTTTAAGGTTCCTTTTTTCAGAAGAATAACTTGTGGACAATATTATCCGATGAAAAGGTTTTACATACGAAAAAGTTTTCCAAGTATATGTTTTGTTGGAAAATACGGTGTTACGTGAGAATATAGAACTGTTTTAAGAAAATAACCTCTTATTTTCATACTTGGAATTTATTATCCAAAGAAGTCTTTAGCAGCAAATAAATATTATCTGGTGCTAATAGGAAATTCTTTCCTTGAAAATGCTTTACTGTGTCAATCACAAGAATACAGAGTATTATGATAGATTTTCCAGGAAAATATTTTCTTCTAAACAGGAGGGACCTAAGTATATCATTTTTTGTCAGGATGAAGATTTTGTCGCGGAGAAGGATGATGAAGGCTCTCCAACTGATGATTCTGGGGAAGAGGAATCTGATGGCAGCTTAAGCGGGGGTGAGAAGGAGGTAAGCATGTTTTAATGAATTATATAGTTAAATTTATGTATTTCCATCACACTCGGATTTCAATGCTTAAAAGAAGTATGGTTATAATGTGTTGTGAATGTTGGAACTCAGAAACCAGTAAGCCAAAAAAAGAAGGTTCTGCTCCTAAACCAACACCCAGCAGAAGAAAAGCTGATGATGAAGAAGAGGGATCCAAGTGTCCCAAAGAGGGCAATGACTGCTTTCATGTTCTTCTCACAGGGTGAGAGAGACGCTTGTAACTACTTGTGTAGTATTTTATTGTTTGATTGCTGAGTAAATTTGTGGTTTTCTTCCACCCTTTCTGCTGAATGTGAAGAAATCTAATCCTGGAATCCTGGGTTCTCGGAGACAAATGGAATAAGCTTTCTGGTGATCATTACATACACACATACTATCTGTTCCATACTTGATTTTTTTTCTTCAGTGGGGCTTACATTTTTCAAATGGTGGTGCTATTTTCAGCCGAGGAGAAAGAACCGTACGAGGCAATGTCTAAGGCTGATAAGCTGCGCTACTCTGAACAGATGTCTGGCTACAATAACAACCAACAGTCAACAAATATGGATACAGGAGGCAACGATGACTCAGATAGTGCCTGAGGCTCTTTATTTAACTACAGTCTGCGAGCCCTTTTAATTACTTCAAAAGACGTAATTAGCAGCTTTGTTAATGGGCAGGCGGGCAGGCTGTTGGAAAATCAAAGGGAACAATGCTGGCAGCACTTGCTTTTTGTTGTTGATCTAGATCTGTACCGCATGTGTTTATGCAAATCTTCTGAGTTTACACTCCACCTATTTATTACCATTTACCCATAATGCTTTTGGTCTGTTTATAGAAAACTTATTAGAGTTAATTAAGAGTTCGTATTCCTGTTATATTCCTCACTATATTTTAAGTTTTTAACGGTAAAAGTGTAAAACGTTATTATATACTGAGTATTATTTTTAATACTTTGATCAAAACAAATAAAACAAAAGCAGTCACGCTGCATCCAAAACAAGTAAAGAGTTAGGGGTGGACCGGTCCGGTTCTGACCGGCCTGGAACCTGGCCCGGACTGTCACTGTGCGGTACCGGCCCGACCCGGCTGACTGGTCCCCAGACCGGGCTTTGGGGCCCAAATTGGGGTTAGGGGGGAAGCCACGGGTCACAGAAAATGGAGACCGGTCTGGTTGGTTCGGGACTGATCTGGGACGACAACCATATTTTTAATTTTTTTTATTTAAACTTAAAATGGCTTTGTGGGGTGTCCAAAGATTCCAAACGGTTCTATAGCCGTTGGAGGCTCCTGGGGGTTGGAGTTGGGCGTAAAAAAATCACTCTCCAATTCCTCCTACTCTCTAATTCCCTCTAATCATCTCCATCTTATAAATATTCCTAATTTCTAAACATTTTTTTACACCTATTCTCCAATTCTTCCTACTCTCTAATTCCCTCTAATCATCTCCATCTTAATCTTCTCTAATCCTCTCTACACCTAATTAATATATATCATATCTATTTAACTAAGTTATACAATTACTATATCTACATATATATTTACTATCTACATATAAATACATATATTATATTACTTATATTAATTATCTACTTAGTATATACTTATTATCCACTTAATATCTATTAATTATATGCTTGTTATTTACTTATATTTACATATTACATTTAATTAATATTTTAAGTATATATATATATTAAAGTATTAAATATTTAAGGATTGTTTAATATTTGTTACTCCATTTTAATATAGAAAGTGGTAGACATTCTTTAGATATGGATAACATCCAATGCAACCGTTAGAAAGAGATTGGGATCAATCATCCTACTTGGATGCTTCACGCAAAGGAAAAGGGTGTTCTTTTAAAGGCTAAGATGATTTTGGCACAAATCATCCTACTTGGCTACTTCACGCAAAGGAAAAGGGTGATCACATATTCCACATATATATGGTATTGCATTTATTCTTGATCCTTGTTATAGACTTGATGTTTCAAGAAGGTGTTTAGATTATCATTATGCTTCTTTTTTTTGGTCCATTTCCCACTAGGGATGGCAACGAGGCGGTTCGGGGTCGGGTATACCCTAATACCCGTACCCGCCCCAAAAGTTAACTTCTTATCCCCAAACCCGCCTCGTTCCCCGTTGGGGAATTGGTTACCTGAACTGTACCCAGTTGAAACGGGGAACGGTTTTCCCGTGGGTAACCGCATTATTAAAAAATATTTCTGTTCTTCTAAATAGTATTACTATCAAACAATCATTTGACCATTAAAAAACATTCCATAAACATCACAAATCAAATCTAATTTATCACAACAATGAAGCCAAAATATAAATTACAAAAATATTCACTAACGAACCGTTAAAACACACATTCCTACAACATTCAAAAGTAAGAATTTCAGCAATATCTTCCAAGATTGAAAGAGACGATGGATCAACGAATTTATCATCACAAGATAAAAATATTCACTAACCAAAAGTTAAAATACACATTCCTACAACATTCAAAATAAGAACTACTTTGATAACATAAGAACTACCACAAGATAAAAATGGTCACTAAATAGAACATTAGGAGATAACATAAGAACTACTTTGATAAGTACTTTACTAATAACCTACAACTCGTAATTAGACATATATTAACTCCCACGTCGTATGAGTTTTAGTCATCATCATACGACGAGTATGTTTCTATGGTGGGATTTGAAAGTACACTTGAGTAGTCTAACATAGCATTATGGTTATCGACATACAATGAAGAATATGGAGGAGATTCATGATCCTCCTCCTCCTCTTCATCAGAACCAAACACTGGTCCAGCAGTATGATCATTACCTGACATTATCAATACATTCTGGTAGTATGTGAGCTGTGCCAGCACTTGTACCAGTTCATCTTCCGCTTCTTTGACACACTGATTCAGATACTGAATGTATTCCACACATCCAAGAACTGGGAACCGGTCGCGCATATCGGCCTCGAAGATGATGGATTTCATTGTGTCGCTCTTCCTGTCATCGTCCTCGTCTATCTGTTTCAGGGTTTTCATGACGTTTCTGATGCCGAAGAGGCGGTGCACGTTCAAGAATGTCTTGGGCTGACTGGCCGGGAAATAAGGTGCCAAGGCACAATCCGGCGAACATCTTTTCCTTTGGTGTTTGCAGGCCGCACAAGCTGGCGGACCGCCGCCGCCTTCTCCTTGGGCAGTCATGTTCTGAGATCGATATCCTTCCTTTGGTTAAATAATACTCCTATTACTTCCGTTCTCTTTTAAATGCAAAATTAGGAGCCCGTTTGGCAGCACGAAAATTGGCTGTTCTGGCTGATTCTGCTGAAATTTATGAAGTTCTGGCTGAAGTGGCTGCATTGGCTGATTCTGCTGATACAAGAAAAAAATATTTTTAAAATATATTTTATTAATAAAATAAAGAAAAAATTATATGTAAAAATAGCTAAAATAGTCATCTACAGTAACTTCAGTCAATACAGCCAGAAAAGTAACTCCAACCTTACTTTTTTGGCTTATTACACAATTCAGCGCGCGGAAGCAAAATTTACGTGTTTGGTAAAAAAGTTGGCTGATAAGTCTGATAAGCCGAAAATGAGGGTGGCCAAACGGCCTCTAGATTTTTTTCACTATTCATATATTCTACTTTGACTATATTGTACTACCTTCGTCTCAAAGTTCCTATACACTATTCACATGGTGAACTTAGTAGTTTTAATGTAGTTTATGAATATGTTAATTTTATTTACTAAAAATAATCAGAATGTGAACAAGATTAAGTTGCTTTATCGTCAGTCAAGCATCTTAAACCGTCAAGCGGGACGGAGGGAGTATTAATATATGTATTACTCTGTATAAATTAAATTTTTAAAAAGTATTATTAAATTCTTCTCATTTGAAATTTTCAAAATCTGAATTTTTTATTTTTTTACTAATAAAGAATGAAAGATATTAATGGTGAAAATTGTGGACTATTCCAATTAGAGAAGGAAGAAATACTTGAAATAAAGAAATAAAAAAGAAACCGATAATTATCGCTAACGGCCAAGAGTAATATCTTGGTTTTGGGAGCGCACATACACGGCTCTTTGATTTGAATTTAAGTTGTTTACGTTTACGCCGGTATATATATTTGGTCGTTGAGTAGTATACTTCGTCTACATTTCTAATTTTCTATAATTATGTGTGAATTTAGACTCTTAACTTTTAGATTTTACCGTTTTTTATGTTTATGGTTTATCTAACAAAACGTTAGTTTCAGTTTTTAAATTTAATTTACGAAGTATATTACATTATCAATTTAATAGAATAAATTTGTGCTTTTCCTATCGGTTGTATATATACTCGGCATATAATAACGTGTTATATGCAATTTATAAAGTCGTGGATCCAGCACATATATTTTGGAGGTTCAAATATTTACTATTAAAATTTGGGGAATTACCCTAAATAGGAATAATGAGGTTAGGAATTCCAAAATATGACTTTGCATAGTTTTTTAATATGAATGCCTTAGAATTACTATAAGAATTGTTTTTAGTTAATTGTTCTGCTTTTAGTTTCAGACTAGATCAAAACAAATTGAACTTTAGCAAACTAAATCAAAATAGATCAAAACAGATTTAGACAATTGTAAAATAGACATAGAATAAATATTTATCAAATAAAATAAAATTAGATTTAAACAGGCCAAAATAAGACCAACTCAAACCAAACCCAAAAATTTATATTCACTCAAAAACATCTTGTAACTAAAACGAATTGCAATTTAAAGACTTTCCCGTAAAAGTAAACTTTCCGGTACAAAATCCAGTGCTGGCGGCATCTTTTGCGATATATTTTTGCTGAAAAGTGTACTTTTCTGGAGAAATGATCCTAAATCGCAAAAATTATTAGTTACAGAACCGAACTTGCAAGTGACTAAAATTACGGGACCAATAATGAAAATAGTCTAAAGTTGTGGGAACTGGAAACAAAATTGCAATTGCAAATCTCTTTATTCAGCATACATGGCTGAAAATCCCTCCATGGAGTTTCGAACCAGAGACGGGTTACGTTCGACAAGTTGAGTTGTACCGCTTCCTCATCATATTATTATTATATTATCATTCAAACATATTTGACTACTTTTCGAATTTAATTTATCAATATTCTTGATTATGTGTGTTGGTAGAAAATATGTTGAGTAGAAAATTCGGCAGCAATTCAGTACAGTAAAAGTGACTTATCCAATACAAAAAGAGGGGCGGCCTATTTATAGGCGCTTACAAGAGGTTTCTTGAATACTAATGGGCTTGGCCCAATTAAACAACTAAAACAAGAAGCCTGATCCCAGGCCAATGGGCTGGTCGGGCCCAGAGTTAAACTAATCAATCCAAGGACCATATTATCTAGCCGGACCGTGTGCTGGGCCTGGTTCGCGCCCGAGCCCAGGCATATTGGGTCGATAGTATTGGACCTGGCCCATTATCCCAACACGAGTCCCCCACTCCCCTAGTCGAGTAGCAGACTCGGCTAGAAGGGAGTAGTCAAGTTGATCAACGATCGGTTCGTCTATCGGATCGGCTGGCTAGTCGCACCTCCATTGTAGCAGTCTGGGGTGCTCGTCAACGTAATCGTTGGCCGTAGGGGGGCCATACTTTGCAGGCCTTGATCGGCCCCTTTGCTTTGCTCCCTACTGCTTGCGAAAGGACGGGGGTCTCAATAATTTGGGCCTGAAATTCCAAAATGCGAGCCTTGTTTTTCTGTAGCCGTATATTGACCATGCGACGGATATACATGGGCTTTAGTCATGCAGGTCCCCTCAGCTTCAGCCTTAACACCCTCGATCATCCACGCGCAATTCAGCCATGCAGGTCCCCTCAGCTTCAGCCGTTCCAGCCGCAGCCACGGCATCGCCGCGTCGCTCCATCCCCAGTCGGCGAAGGAAACGCAGCGGCTCCCCTTCTCCGTCGCGCCGGAGGGAGGGTCATTCACGACGTTGTTCGCCGTCGCGATCTCGTAGCCCAGGCGGTCGGAAAAAACCCAGCGATTCAAAGTCATCATCGCCGCCTGTTCCAAGCCTACGCACAGGTTCTCAACACAGTTCACGACACGGAGCTCATCATAGTGCCCTCTCCACCCGTGAACGTCGTCCGTCTGTCAAACAGTCCCAGAAACCTCCAGCGGGTCAAATATCATCTGTGCGAGACCCCCCGGGCGAGGCGGACGCACTGCCACAGTCTGGGAACTTGGTTGCACGAGCCCATCGTGGCGAGGTGGGGAAAGAGTCTGTGCGTGGAGGCTCGGTTAAACAAATTCAAGCCAGCGGGGTGAATGCAACGTCTCAGCCCGAATTCGGGGCATCAGGGAAAAATCAAGGGGTCTCCGATAATTTTTCGATGCATGAAAAGGTCACCACCTCCTCGCGGTTGGACAGACCCGCTACGCGGATTGTGATCGTTAAGGGACATCTCCGGTCTGCTCCGGGGGGGCCACATGACCAGTCTGTGCCATCCTCCAACAACGTCACCCCTGTAGTGGACATTGCCTCACAGTCGGATAGCTCCCCCAAATCAAATGGCGAATCGGATAGCGTCAAAGATCCTAACGCTTGGAGGGAACGTTTGCGTTCCACCAGTACGGAGGCAGATTTGAAGTTGGCGAAAAGTTTGGTCGATAGCAATTGCACCCTCATGTTGCCAGATCCCGAGAGTAGCCTCACCAGCCCTCCTCCAGATTCGTTCTTCGGGGTTCACATTGCATCTATCGCGCGGGGCATGCGGGTGCCTTTATGTCCATTCTTGGTGGCACTCCTTGCCCATATCGGGGTATCGCCGTGCCAGATGACCCCAACCGCACATATGTTTACGGTTGCTTTTGTCGCACGTTGTAGTGGCGTTGGTATCCGGCCATCCATACCGTTGTTCCGTGCATGCTTTAGGTGGAACCGCCCTAACAATAAGACAGATGAGGGCGGGTTCGTGTCACTTTGCCAATTACCGCACCGCAAGCTCTTTGATCAGTATCCAGATCCACCTAGGAAGTGGTCGAATAAATGGGTATGGGCATCCGCTCCCCGCTCGCTCCCCGTCACATCCACCTGGGGTATTTCAATGCGCGAGTACAAGCCTGCCTCTCTCACCCCTGACCTTGAGGAGAAGGTCGAGGCCTTGCTCCAAGGGGGCCCTTTCCCGATTAATTCGTATACAGGTAAATCTTCTGTCCCAGCAGGTCACAGATGCCATATGAGATCATCCCTTAATTTGCTAATATTTTCAGATGTGGCAGGCAACAGACACGAAGTTGCTGCCCCCAATGTGTCATTGGGGACCATGCTCCCACCTCCTGCGCCTGGTGCGAATTTATGTCCGCCCAATCTTGGGGAGAAGCGCGGGGCCTCCCCGTTCCGTGAAGAGCAGGTTGCCATGGACGGAAAAGGTGTGAACTCCACTCTAATTCAAGAGGAGAAAGACCCGGCTGAAATAACTCCACCACCCTCTTGTTTATTTTTATTATTTATTCCTTCTTCTTCTTTTTTTCAAGCAGGCCTAGTTACGGCGCAGGGTGTTGCCCCCCAGTCCGTGGTACCTGATGCAAGTAGGAGCGTGTCCGACGCCACCATGCCCGAGGTAGACGCCGGGGTGAAGAGCGGGCAGGGTGTTGCCCCCCAGTCCGTGGTACCCGTTGCAAGTAGGGGCATGCCCGACGCCACCATGCCCGAGGTAGACGTCGGGGTGAAGAGCGGGGTTCCCCCACGTCATGGGGAACAAGCCGGTAAGAAGAAGAAAGGTGTGAATCCTCCTCTTTGATTCGGGAGCGGAGAAATAGTTCAACCGGTACTAATCCATTTTACTCTGTTTATTTCTTGCAGAGGTTGCTGGTATGCGGGGCAGGCTCGCTGCTCTGGCCGCAGAGGAGGACGCCAGGTTCCGGCCTTCGAGGACTGAAGTCATTCCCTTCATCGTGGAAAAACAACACGGGGCCCCTCTTGTTAACCAGCCAGCTCCTACCCTCAGTGCTTCATCGATTTTGGATATGGCGCGCTCTATCAAATCTTACAGCGCGGTATGCCGTAATTTGACGTTTCACTCTTCCTTTTTTATTATCATTGTCACTATAATCCTCACTAATTCTACGTCTCCTGCAGGGGCTAATGGACACAGCCGTCGCGCTTCAAACAATAGGTCGTCGTCGCGATGAGCTCCAGCACCAGGCTGACGAGGCTCACCGTCACTCGGTTGC